TGGGGGAGGAGCTCACAGACCGGCGCCGCGAGGAGCTGCGGTGGGACCGGGCGCCGGGGCGGGACGGGACGGGCACCGCGTGACACCGCGTGACGCCGCGTGACGCCGCGTGACGCCGCCGCCGCGTCCCCAGGCACGCGCTGGACATCCGCGAGCACTACGACGAGCGCAAGGAGCGCGCCAACAACCTCTACATGGAGCTCAGCGCCCTCATGCTGCAGCTGGAGCTCAAGGAGAAGGAGCTGCTCAGGCGAGCGGGGCGCCCCGGGGGCACCGGGACCCGACCCGGGGCCGTGGGGACCCATGGACATCCCTGTGTCCATGCCATGAGCAACCAGAACCACCATAACCCAACCCATGGCCAACTTGGGCCCTTGGGACCCCATGGCCATCCCTGTGTCCACGCCATGAGCAACCAGAACCACCATAACCCAACCCATGGCCAACCCGGGCCCTTGGGACCCCATGGACATCCCTGTGTCCATGCCAGGAGCACCCAGAACCACCATAACCCAACCCATGGCCAACTTGGGCCCTTGGGACCCCATGGCCATCCCTGTGTCCACGCCATGAGCAACCAGAACCACCATAACCCAACCCATGGCCAACCTGGGCCCTTGGGACCCCATGGCCATCCCTGTGTCCACACCATGAGCACCCAGAACCACCGTGATCCAACCCATGGCCAACCAGGGGCCCTTGGGACCCCATGGCCACCCCTGTGTCCACACCATGAGCACCCAGAACCACCGTGATCCAACCCATGGCCAACCAGGGGCCCTTGGGACCCCATGGCCACCTCTGTGTCCATGCCATGAGCACCCAACCCATGGCCAACCTGGGCCCTTGGGACCCCATGCCAACCCTGTGCCCATGTCATGAGTGCCCCATAACCACCACGAATCCACCCCACGTCCAACCCGGGCCCTTGGGCACCCCATGGCCGTGCCAACCCCCTGCTCATGCCTTGAGCATCCAGCACCACCATAACCCAACCCATGGCCAACCCGCGCC